ATTCTAAGAACATGTTCAACAGCTATATGAGGAAAACTTTAAAATTTTGATGAAGGAAATAAAGAATAGCTAAATAAATGAAGAGACATTGCATGCTTGTGGAGAGGAAGACTCAATATTGTCAAGATTTCAGGTCTTATTTGATGAATGGATTCAGTGCAATCTCAATTAAATGAGTTATTTTATAAATATGAAGTTGTTCTACAGTAAATTGGAGAGAAAAAAACTCAGAAGAGTGAGCACAGCACGGAGGTGAAGAGAAAGAACATTTGGGGGACGAATACTGCCTGATTTCAAGACTTATGTAGATCCCAGTAACGAAGAGATGGGGTATTGGTGAGACAAGATAAATACATCCTTGGAACAGACGGGAGTTCAGAGAAATAGAGTCAACTGGTCTATGACAAAGTAAAGGAAATGCAATGAAGGAAGTTCAGTCTTTTCAGCAAACGGCGCTCGCATGATTGGACAGCCACATGCACCAGAGACAATCTAGATATACACTTCACATTTTCCCAAAATTTACTCAAAATGGGCCATAGATATGAATTTAAAATGCAAAACAACAAAATTCATAAAGATAGTATGGGAGAAAATCTGGATAACCTTGTATTTGTTAATGATATGCAATATAAAAGATTTAAAGACTGGGGCTGGAGAGATGGCTCAGTGGTTAAGAACACTAGCTGTTCTTGCAGAGGACCCGGCTTCGAATCCCAGCACCCACATGACAGCTAACAACTGTCTGTAACTTCAGTCCCAGGGGATCTGACAGCCTCTTCTGACCTCCGCGGACCTTGCATGACATGGATGTACTTACCTACCTGCAGGCAATACATACATACACATAAAACAAAAACAAAAACAAATTTAAAGTTTAAAAAAAGATTTAAAGATATACAATATGAAAGATATAATTCATGAAAGAAAATACTAATTTGAATTTTATTGAAATTAAAAACAGCTTTGAGGGGCTGCAGTGTTGACCCAGTGGTTAAGAGGCCATACTGCTCTTGCAGAGGATCAGAGTTTGGCTCCTAGCACCCACATCAGGCAGCTTACAACTGCCTGGAACTCTAGTTCCAGGACTTTCCAATGTCTTTGACTTCTGAGGGCACAGGTACTCACACACAGGCACACACACATACACATAGTTGAAAAAAAATGCATTTTAACAAATCCAGAGCAAACAAACAAATGGAAAAACACCTCTGCCTTGAAAAGTATACTGTGAGGAGAATGAGAAGACAAGCCATAGGCTAGGAGAAGGACTGTTGTCCAAAAACACACCAAGACTTCCTAAAACCCAACAGTAAGAAAGCAGACAGCCCAATTAAAAAGTGAGCAAAAGATCTAAGCACTTTAGCAAAGAAGATACAGAGCTGTCAAATCAGCAAGTGGGAAATGTTCAACATCATTAAAGAACTGCAGATCAAAACAAGATACTGTGACACACCTGTTAGAATGGCAGCGGTCCAAAACACAGCAGCTCATGCTGGCTACGTTGTAGAAGAACAGAAATTGGTAGGAGAATGCAAACGGTACAGCTGCTATGGAAGACGGTTTGGCAGCTTCTCTATAACTACACACACTCTTAGCATATGACCTAGCAACTGGGATCCTTGGTATTTTTCCAAACAAACTGAAAACAGGTTTACACAAAATCTAGCATATGAATGTCATCACAGTTTAGATGTGGTTTCAGTGTGTCTTCCCAAATGCTCATGTTGGGAGGTTTGGTCCTCATGGTGGTGGTATTGGGAGCTGGTGGGACTTTTAAGACATGAGGCCTAGTGGGAAGTCTCTAGGTCATTGGGGGTGGGCCTTTCAAGGATGTTGTAGGATCATAGTCACTCCTGCTTTGTTTGTTTTGAGTTAGAGAGTCTTGCTGCATGACCCCAGATGACTTTGAACTCATAATCCTCCTGCTTTAATCTTCCAAGTCCTGGAATTACAAGTGTGTGTTACTATTCTTGGCTCTTGCCTCCTGTTTTGAGATATGATCTCTCCTTCAACATGTGTGCTATCATTTGTCACAGGGTTTTTGCCAGAGCCCATGTATATTATCTGGACTTTCAGCCTGCACGACCATGAGCTAAATAAATCTCTTTTTTCTCGTTTTTCTTTGTGGTACTGGGAATCAAACCAAGCACCTAAACTACTAGGTAAGTGTTCTACCAATGAGCTGTATCCCCAGTCCTAGTCTTGTTGCTTTATAAGATTTGTCTGCCACAGGTATTTTATTGTAGTAAAGCAAAATTGGATTAATACAGATATTTATAGTAGCTTTGTCCATAACTGCCCCAAAGGGAGTGAGCTGAGAGTCCTTCAATATGTGAATGGCTAAATAAATTGCATGTCCATATATTAGAATACTATTCTGTGATAAAAGGGTATAAAAATACAAAACAAAACATACAGGAACCCTAAATATTGCTAAGGTAACAAACCTGGAAACACTGCAAGCTGTATGACTCTGAAATACCACTGTAGAAAACACAAAATTGTGGAGACACTGAAAAGCTGGTGGTTGCTAAGGTAACAGGGATAGGGAGGAAGATTAATAGGTGACACTTGAGGAATTTAGGGTAGTGAAACCACTTTCTATGATTTTCTAAGAGTGATACATGCTTCTATATATTAGTCAAAACCACAGAATGTATAACATCAAGAGTGAACTTTAATGTCAACTATGGACTGCAGTTGAAAATTATGTATCAAAACTGGCTGGTCAGCTGTAACAAATGCAGCACACTAAGCAAGATGCTGAGAAGAAAGAGGTGCTGTGTGTGGCACATGGGAGCTTCCTGGACTTCCCACTCAATTTTTCTGTAAACATAAAACTGCTAAAAATTAAAGTGCATTAATTTTAAAAATAAGTTATGTGTTTTAATTATATGTTTTAATAATCATGCCATTTGGCTCAAGAATTCTATTTTTGTGAATTAATTCTAACAAAACAGTCCAAAATCCAAAAGAAAAATCGAAAGTTTATACCAATATGCTTACTATTTTTTAATAGTGATAAACTGATAACTACTGCATAGGAAGTATAACAAATCACAATGTCTTTATCTAAATATCTATCTAATGAAATGATCAAGAGCTTATAAAATAAGTTAAATTGTAATGTGAGAAGTAAAGAGCACTGTAATATTTAATTAGAACTATGTTTTTCAAAAGGCAAGCAGGCAGCAAAAATTTGGAAGGAAAACCTGTCAGCAGTTTGTAGGTAGGTGGTAAGATTACAGGAAATTTTTCTCTTTTGCTCTTGAAAGTTTTAATGAATATGCATTATTTTGAACATGAAAAAAGTCTAAAAGCCAGGAGAAAGTAGATGTTAATTTATTTCATTATGAAGTGTTATTTTATTATTTAGATTTTGTGACAAAAAAATAACAAAAAGAACTTAAAAATGTGTGGTATGTCCTTCACATTCTTTTAGGCCTATCTAAGCCACGAAGTGCACTTTGCCAAGAGCTGATCCAGAAGAGGGACTGCAGTTAAACTTTGCTCCGCTGTCTTTAGAGCTCCAACAGTATGCGAAAGGGGTGATAGAGACAGATAGACGATACATACATCACACATACACAATACACAAGTATTTAGAGATACGGGAAAGATATATGGGGACAGAGACGGAGAGGAGAGTTAAACATGCAGAGAGAGACTGAGGGGAGATGCACATATCTAGGGAGACAGAGAGTGAGAGAATCTGTATGAAGAGTGAGCAGAGTCAGAGGTAGTAAGGAGAGAGACAAACTAGGAAAGGGAGGAAGAATAAGCACATGGGTCACATCTAGTGACTCGTACACCATGTCGTGTGTTCAAGCTTCATTAAAAACACCCTTGCCTTACCAAAAGAAAAGCAACAAGGCCAGTTGAAGTTAGAAAATCTTCAGATGGCCTGGTGCCACCCCATTTTACAGTGACGCACCACCAGACACACTGAGCATCACCAACTTGGGAGATGTCCACTGTGCAGCCTGTGACTGAGTCCACTGAGGTGGTGCAGTGATCCCTTGGAGCCCTGGTTCTGTCCCTACCCACTAGGCCACGCTGCCTGGGTTTGGGTCCTGCCACCACGTGCACTGTGAGTGTTTGGACTCTAGGTGTGAGTTTCTTCCTCCTCTGAAGCATGGAGCTACCACTAGTATCCAGTTCTTGGACTTTAGAAGAGTAATACAAAGCTGTACTGTGAATGCTCCCTGTGTTCAGTCTGTGAACACACATACTGACTGGAGTGACTTAGGGATGTAAGTTACCACCATCAGATACGTTTGCCACCAGATAACTATGAACTTTCATTATGATTATAATACAGTGAACCACATGATGACTTTTTCTCCTCTGAGCCTCAGTTTTTCATCTGTAAAGTGGGGGAAAAAGAGGCAGGTGCTGAGGCCAAAGCTTAGGAATGCCCGTCCTGGGAATGAGTGCAAATGTGGAGAACTGCTCATCTTCCACCGTCCTGGAAGAAGAGGTGTGGCCATATCCTACCCGGCCATTCTGATCTTACCTTCTTGTGGCCCCAGCCTCACTGTGTGGGATTCCTGTAGGATCTCTGCCACTGGCTTGCGGGTATAGAGGATGGTGGCTCCGCTCAGATTGACTCGCACCCGCTGGGGCCTGGAGGTGAGGTTGGTCAAGCAGAGAGCTAACCTCAGGTCCTGGCCCAGAACTGGTGGCTCCAGCACTTTGAACTTGCCAGTGATGCTGGGCTTGACGGGAGGCTCCAGGAGGTCATCACGCCAGAGACCACGCCCACTGACCCTGCGGATTCGAGTCCTCCTCCCCCAGGCTTCCACGCTGAGCAGCTTCTTCACCGCCTTGCTGTACACCTGCCTCTCCTTCCGGGACCCTGCAGGGCACCCTCAGGTCAGGAGCAGCCATCCTGCCATCCTCTACCCCCATCCCCAGGCTCTGCTGCAAAACCGCCCCTGGTTACCACTTCAAATTCCCACTGCTCCTGGAGGCCTCAAACTGGAAGCCCAAAAGTCGTATGCAGACATGTGCCAAATGCCAGTGCCTGCCTTTCTATCTAAATATACTTTAAACCAGTAGCCAACACATCAGATCAGGAAATTGCACATACAAATGCGTGTTTCCAGCATCTTTGACGCTGGGTGAGAAACTTACCATTATCATGTAATGGAAGCTAATTTCTCTCAGGACAAAAGACCCCAAAGACCCCCACATTCTAAGTTCCACCAACAGATGGAGGTACTAGCGCAGACCCTGCCTCCTCAACCATCACCCCTACCTACTGCACAATCTGATAGGTAAGGAGAGGGAGAGGAGTGGCAGGTCCCAGCTGGCCACGGCTAAGGGGAACCAAGGCAACTGGTCCTTGTTGGGTTGTGGATGCCTAAAAGCTGAGGTAAGGTTTGGGGTGTTCTCAACAAGAGGGGAATGGCTGGTAAAGACAGAGCACCTACCAGAGGAAGGTGGCTTTTCATTCCCTGTGGCAGGTCTGCTCAGCTGTCTTACTGAGCCTGGGATTACTTGGGCAGGAGCAAGACCTGAGGGCATGTCAGATATACCGGCCAGATACACCCCCTGGGAACATGCTTCTCTATGGGAAAGGGAGTCTTTCAAACCGCAGAGTTGAGGGCAGCTATGAGAAAAACACCCAACTGTCTTGTTTTTGTATCCCAACAAATACAGGCTCTTCCAGAAACCACTGACCAGGGCCACCGTAGAGGTCTGGTAGATGACCAGGGGCTGCAGCGGCTGTTTTACAGTGCCGTTCCTAGACCGCATTTCCTAGGTGTTCCACAGCTACCACCTGCCACTGTCCCTGCAGCAATGACCCCACGTGTGTGCACCTACACAGTACTTGGCATATGGCAAGTGGCTGAGGAGACAACCCTATTATTACTGTGTGTGGGAGCCGAATCCGGAAGAGGTGTGCAGCGAGCAGAGAAAGGTGGGGGCTGGCAGTGCAGGCGATGCCTAGCGGAAGCTGCTGTTAGGGTCCTCACATTCAGAGAGGACCTAGCCCTAGACCTCCATGGGCCCTCTGCAGCCCACCCTGGGGAGGCCGGTAAAGGATGCCGCGTGGACCTCACCTTCTGGGTACTTGTAGAGGCCTGTGATGTCCACACGCGAGTCGCTGCCTACAGCCTTGGTACTGATGCACCTCCCGATCTTCTTTGTGTCTGAGTATACCCGTTCTCTCTTTTCGTCCTCATGCCACAGCCAGGTGATGTAGTCTGCATTGACTTCGGCAAACACGAAGGGACTATCGTGGGCCAAGTGCACATCTCCCTCGCGGATGGCGTTGACTGAGGCAGGGCCACACTGGAACACGCCTGGGCAGGAGGGATGCCGTGAGCAATCTGCTTCGGAGGGGGTCTGAGTCCACCCGCTGAGCCCTACCTTCGCTCTCTTCCTGCGGCGTGGCATCCAGAACCTGCCAGCCGTTGTAGGATGGGCCCAGGTCCTGCCGTGCAAACCAGCTCTCATTCCAGACGTGGAAATTCCTGCAGAGACAGAGGGTGGGTAAGGTGGCCGTGTGCACACAGAGGCCCAGAGAAGGGAGGGCCCTGCTGCAAACCAGCCAGTGCTGGAGCTGCACCTGCTGAACTATTTATTCACTTGGACTGATGGACACATATTCATGTTTGTGTGCACACTTAACAAGAACCTGTTTTCAAGGCATCAGAAATGTAACTCCAAGCAAGACCAAAGACCCTTGCCTGGATGCAGCTCACTTAGTATTTTTTGATGTATCCGGGGATGCTTTGCAACTCCTTTTGTAGACCAGGCTGACTTTAGACTCCAGATCCTCCTGCCTCAGTCTCCTAAGTATTAAAATGAGAAGCATGTATTGCCACCCCAAGTAAAAGACCGGATGTCATAACACCAATTGTGTGTGTGTGCCTGTGTATATGTGTATGTGCATTTATATGTATGTTTTTGTGTGTACATGTATTCATGTGTATATGAATACACATGTATTCATGTGTATGTGTGTGCATATATGTGTATGGGTGTTCATGTGCATGTGTATATGTATATTTATATGTGTGTACCTGTGCATATATGTATGTGTATTTATATGTGTTTTTGTGTGTACATGTATTTATGTGTGCATGTATATGCGTATGTGTATATTTGTGTGTGCATATGTGTATGGGTGTTTATGTGCAGGTGTGTATGTATATCTATATGTGTGCATGTGTGTGTTTTGTGTACAAGATTCTAGATATGTGTACTCACACACACATGTGTGTGAGTGCATGAATATGTGTATGAGTGTTTATGTGTGCATATGTGTGTATATGTATATTTGTGTGTGGGCCTATGCATGCATGTATATGCACATGTCTATATGCTTGCATGTGTGTGTATTTGTGTTTGTGTGGCTATGTGTATGAGTATATTTGTGTGTTTATGTGTGTATGCTTAATTATATCTGTATACATGTGCATGCATATGTGTGTGCTTATATTTACACATGTGTATATACATATGTGTCTATGCATGTTTATGTATATGTATGTATGTGCATGTGTGTATATGTGCACATTTGTATGTGCATGCGTGTATGCCTATGTGTGTACATATGCATGCATGTGTTTGTATGTTTGTATGTGTATCTATGTGCATGTATGTGTCTATGTCTATGTGTATGCGTGTATGTGTGTGTAAGTGTGTGTATATAAGTGTGCTCGTGTGTGTTTCATGCAGCTTTCATTCTAATGAAGGGTGTGGATGGGAAGCTAGGGAGCCATAAGTTCTCAGGTGAAACAAATGCTAGTGATAATAAATGCTGCAGCGAAAAGAAGGGCTTGCTTTTGAGAATGGTTGCTGGAGACCTATTCTAGGTAAATGAGGCCAAATTCAGATGAATTAGCCAGAGAAAGACTCACGTGTTCCAGGCAGGAATAGCATGTATAAAGGGTAGGGGACAAGAAAATGCTCAGTGTGTTCAAGGACTAGAAAATGTATATCTTGGCCATGGTAAATGGGAGGGTAGGAAGGGTATAGGTTTTGCAGAGGTGTGTAGGCCCCGGTGAGGAGTTCTTGATTATTTTCAATTTCTTACATTCACAGCACTAATATGAGATAGGAACAGTGACATCACTTGCTCAAGGTCACAGAGGAAAGGGCAGAAAACCAGATTCCTGCTTTGCTGCCTTGGCATTTATGGTGGGCAGCAGGATCCCTCTTGGGAGCTGCTATTAGCTTTGGGAAAATATATTGATAAGTATTTGGGGGCAAGAGGCGGGAGGCCCAACATTAGAAAGAGATGTGTGTATGTGAAGAGAAGGCTTGAGCAGTTAGGCCTGGGACTCACCACATGCTGTCTTCAGTCAAGTCCTCCAGGGTCCGGCCGAAAGAGTCCACGTACTTGTCCACACTCAGATTGCCATCAGTGTCGTGGGCTGAGTTGAAGTTGGATACCACTCTGGTCGCGATCCCCAGGCACCTGAGGACTGGGGAGCAGAGGGCTCAAGGTTGTAGGAGCAGTGGGAGCCTAGACCCAGAGGGAGGTGCCCAGCTCCACACAGCCTCTCCACCCCCTCTGACCACAGCCTCAGTCTTTGTCTACTGTGGCAGGTGGCAGCACTGAGGTTCTGGAACGCCCTCTCATTAGCACCATCTCTTCTGTGCACTCTCAGGGAGGCTCTGGACATGCAAGTGTCACCCCCATCTGAAGAGACAGTGCTATGCGCCTAAGGGGCCCTGAGGACCACAGGGCTGACCCAGGACACTTAATGAAATAGAGGTAGAGGAGGACTCATGCCAAATAAATGAACTATCTGCTTCTCTCTTCGTTAATCAGATTTCTATTTCCTCTTCATCAACGAAAACTGATTACAGCATCTGTAAATCTATGCAAACACATGCAAATGCGGGAGCATATTGAGGGGCTCTTCTTTACGTACCTGTGCACATGACTCCAGCGAAGACCCAGCACTGGCCATATTTGACTGGCTTGCACCTGCCCTTGAACCACTTCTGCAGAATGGTCACGCTGCCACGCCAGCGCAGTGGGCTGGTGCCACCACCGTATTTGCCCTGCCACTGGCCCTGTATCACGCCCCGGTCATTGTTGCTGTTCACCTGAGCAGAGGAGGCACAAATCCAGCACTGGGTAGTGATTCACTGTTAACTTTGGAATCCCAGATCAATGGGGGTCACTTCTTGCTTTTAAGTTGCCTGAAAATTAGGAGGCTTTGCTTTCTTAAACTGCCCGCTCTTTTGGGGTTGGGGTGTAGAGTGTGTGCTCAGCATGCATGAGATCTGGGGTTTGATCCACAACACTTCCCCAAAAATGAGACTTAAAAAATATGCCTACATTTTATGTTACTTAAAATCTTCAATTATCTTCCATTTTGATAACTTGTTGTCAAAAGTCATCATAATGTTAAGCATTTGCTGCTTTAAATATCTATATCTTAAATTTGAGACCATTGATGGTATACTAAATCATGAAAGCAACAGTGTGCATTAAACGCTTATCATGCACCAGGCACTGTTCTAAGGATTTTGTGCACAGTGCGTTGTTTTTAGTCTACAATAATGTAAGTTCTTTTATCCACTTTTGTTTCTTTGAGAGGAGAAAATTGAAGTTCAGAGGAGTTAGGGGACTTGTCCATATCACAAGTGAGTTAGCAGAGGAGTGATCCATGAGCTCTGGACTTGGAGCCTGCACAGCTGCTACTGGGCTGCAGTGAACCAAGTTTGGAATCAGTCACTGCTGTTGCTTCTCTGTGCTCCATCATCTCACTGAGGCCTTGCAGAACTGAGAACATCATATCTGAGAAATGCAATTTTGTCTACTTTTGGAATCCCAACTCCCCACCTATGACTTGGCATAAACATTGCTATTACTAGTAGGCTCTCTTCCTGCCTTTTGTTAGGGAGGCCTGTGGTCTACAGCTTACGATCAGTTAAAGTAGTCATTCTCAGAGAAGTGGGAGAAGGCCTGGGACTGCTTTGACCACAGAAGTGAGGTGACTGGCCACTCTGTTTCCAGTCCCTACCAGCTGGGGGATCTGAGTGAGGGTGGGGAAGTCATCTTGAACATTCCACCTTCAGCAGACTTCTCACGGGCAGAAAACAAGGAGTTACCAGTTACCAGGGCAAGGCTGAGATACAGGCCTACCTAACCATCCTGGACGTCTGTAGCCGTTTCAGAAATCCCCAGTGGAGGCATCTGGGAGCAGAGGCAAGCCATTCGTAAGATGTCCTGCCAAATTCCCAATGTGTAAGAACTGGATGTAACGCAGGGTGTTTGGTAGTATACAATTTGGGAGTGGGTGGTTACCCAGCAATATAAAAAGCAAGAGGTGACATGGGGAGATTCTTAGGCTCTGGGATTGCCTGAGGGATCCTTGAAGGAGGGGTATGCAAAGATAGCAGGAGGTTCCTCACCATGGCACTGATGATCCTGGTGACATAAACAGGGTCATGGCGATGGGACACATCGTTGGCTGGGTCACTCTGGTGGCTGGGGCTTCGGTCCAGGATGGAGAGGCAGATATTCAGGATGTCCTCCTCAAACTGCTCTCAGAGAGGCTGTGCTCAGAGACTGGAATCTCACCCATATTCCAGGCCCTCCCACAATCCCATCTGGTCTGCTATTTGTGTCTGTGCAGAGAGTTTGTCCCAACTCCCTCCTAGAGACACAGAAATCCTTTACATGGTCACTTGGAACCAGAAGTTCAACCTTGCCATGGCCTTCCCATGATTCCTCACTAATTCACTGTGAAGCCACAAAAACTGGTGGCCCCTGAGGCAGTACAATCTTTTGCTGGTCCCTGGTCCCCCATCTGCCCCCATCTACTTTGCCAATACAATCCTTTGCTGTGCATGTTTCCATATACATCTGGATCATCTGACAACACTTAAAAACTGGGAGATTTTTCATACAAATTTCCTCTGAGCATCTTCAAGATTTGGCAACTTTGGGCTCTTTTTTTCCCATGGTAAGAAGAGATTGCTGCGGAGAGTGGTAAATCCTTAGATGAACCGTAAGCTTTCCATGTATTAACCCTGCCCAGTCCCTGAGCCCCACATGCTTTTGACCACCAGCCTGTCCTTAGTTGGACAGTTAAGTCTCAGGTGACACCTGGAGCCCAGGTAGGCAGCGTCCTCTAGCAGACTTGTTGGCGGGGGGTCCCCTTGCTTGGCCTGCTCTTCCCTCTGCCCATCTAGGTCTGGCTGAACTTTGGAGAGCCAATCCTGCTATCTGGAGGCTTTTCTCAGTCTCCAAGATGGGATTCCTGTCACCTTCTCCTGAGCTCCCTTGGTCTCACCCCTGCAATCTCACTTTCCTTCCCCCATTGTGACTGCTACCGTAGGAGCAGTTGGCCCTCTGTGCTAAGCGTTCCGTATCCTTATGTTCCATATCTAAGGGTTCAACTTGTGTCTGAGTTGAATGTGTAGAGATTTTTTTCTTGTCTTTATTTCCTGAACAATACGGCATAATTATTTACACAGTATTTCCATTGCACTAGGTGTTAAGAGTGACTTAGAAAGATATAAGTGGATGTGGGCAGGTTTTATGCAAATACCACATCTCCTAGAGAATGGACTTGCACATGTGTGGATTTTCGCATCTGCAGGAGGTATTGAGGCCAAGTCTCCACAGACATGGAGGGAGGCTTACGTTTGCTTAGACTGGGGGCTCTCAAGCCGAGTCCCAGACCAACAGTGCCAACATGATCTAGGAACTTGTTTAAATGCAGATTCCTAGGTCTGGTCCTATACCTGCTTGAATCAGCTTCTCTGGCAAGGGAGGAACCAGCTTCTGTGTTTTGGGAGACCGCCTATGATTCTGATGCATGCCGTAGTTTGAGAATCACTGACTGAAACTGAAGCTACTTATCCTTCCATACAGAAGTGACCTCTTCTACTTCTAAACTGTATCCAAAATACTGCCCTTTCCAAGGGCCCAGGACAGGCACAGGCACAGGGGATGGGAACCGAGTTGAATGAATGAATGGATTTTCCCTAAGACTCAGCCCAGCTTGCCACTCCTAGGAAGAAGTAGGTTGAACGAAGTCGTCTAATCTTCCCTTTCCCACACCCAAGCCCTGGTCCCCCATCTGGTTGTGCCCCTAGAGACCTGCCCGTAGTTCCAACCCTGGGCTCGGATGTGCTTCTCCACGCCTCGGAAGATGATGCCACTGTCATTAAGCACGTACTCCTGTCTCTCCTCTTCTGAGTCCAGAAACACATCATCCTCTGAAAAACAGTTATCAGACCCTGTGTGGGCTGAGGCTTTGGCCCTGCTGGCCTGAGAAGGGGTTGTATGAGGACTTAGCAGGTGGCCCTGGAGGCTGTCCAGGGCAGGACAAGGGCAGGAATGACATACTGGCTCCACATCCCTCCCTGCTACATCTCACTCCTTCTGGGTAGCCTTTTCACAAGCAGAAACCAACCTCTTGCCTAGTCCAAGACAAGGATTTTTGGAGTCCTGACCTTGATGATTTTTAGAGTCTCACCTAGATGATAACAATAGCATCATATTTTCTAAACATTAACAAGGATCCTGATCCCAGGCACCCCTTGCTGAGAGCTTGTGATGTGACATATTTATAACATTAGCTCTCTGAATTCCTACCACAGCTGAAGAGTTAGGCACTGCTATTATTAGTAGGGGAACTTCAGCAGAGCTCCCGAACTCCCAAATCCCAGCTCTTACCTACTCGTGAGCCTCCCCTACCTTTTCTCGGGCCCCATCTGACTTCCTGGCTGGGATCAGAAACTACTGACTTCCTACCCATCTGGCATAGGCTCCACTGTCATGCCTGATACCAGGTTCCTTCATCTGGGCCCAGTTCTTGGCATTTGACTTCCTATCTCCTGCTTCCCAGTTCCTTCCAGGTTGGCTTGCCTCTGAGGATGGCTTCCAGGAAACCCTCGGCCTTGGAGGTGGCAGTTCCTACCTGGACACCAGGGATTGAACAGGAGAACAAATTCGCCCAGCTTCCGGTCACTGTGTTTCCGGCGGGAAGAGGCCCTGGCACTCAGCAGGTATCGGCCGATTGCTGCATTGGAAGGACTGATGAGGCTGACAGTCAAGGAGTTCTCTGTCTGTTCCTCCTTTGCAGCTGACCAGTTGTCACCTATCTCTAGCTCTGCTGTCTGGAATATGACTTTGGTGTGGAGTGCCTCAGATGCCTGGGGCCCTGGCAGAGAGGAGAGAGAATCAGGAGACCCTGCTTACTAGGAAATGCTGATTTAGAGAAATGGAAAAGCCTAGAAGCCCATCCTTTACCCCTAAAATTCCAGGAAGCTGTAAAGGAAAGGACCTGACCAAGTGCAAGAAGCCCAGTGGCAGAGTGTGTACACCCTCAGCGAACCTGGCTCCCAGCCTTTCCCTGGGGCAAAGGGGAAAGTGATAGTACCCTTGGAAAACAAACTGGCCGCTTACCTGGCCAGATAAGGAGAAAAGAGCCTGGACTCTAAAAGTGCCTGACCATTTTCCTTGCCTGCCCAGAGCTGTGGGTTCCTTGGCATACACTGGGCTCCAGAGAGACTACCTCATCCAGCCAGCTGCATGTAGTGAGCGCTTTCCACCTCTCTCCCTGGAAACTGTTATCAGAAGCCCTCAGGGTTCAAGGCCCAGTCCATTTCTAGGGATCTGTTTCCCACTAAGGTCTGGGCTGCCAACTGCAGTATCTTAGATCATAAAAGCGGCAATCTGCAGACCACTAGGGGCACTGGTGAGCCCAGTTACCTGTCTCCACAGTGAAGATAAGTGCCTCCTCGCTCTCCAGGACTCCGTTCAGACCCAGCTTGAGGCTGAATAACTGGCCCCTGCGAACCACCAGCTCAGAACAAGGGTAATCCTGGGTGTGGTGGGCAGCACCGTTTTTTGAATGCTGCCAGTCCACCTTAGTAACTCTGACTCCTGAGTAGGGAGAGGACAGAAAGGTGAGGCCAAGCTTTGGGGCACCTTCATCTGTACCTGCTTTCCTGCTTTTCCTCTAGCTGCTTCATCCTGTCAGTGTTGGTCCGTGTGGACACTATGACATACTATTGACTCTCACGATCTGCAGTACTCAAATTCTATAAAGTTCTTTGTTCTTTTCACACTAAATTAGTGAGCTCTGAACTGTTACTTGGTTCTGTGAGTCTCTGGTCACAACTTATTGTTGACTTGTTAGCACCGAGCTCGTTTTGTCAGCAGCAGTATCATTCATACCCAAATGAGGTTTATTTCACACAGAAGCTGTCTCCAAAAGGCACAGTACAACCTTCTCGCACTTAGAAACACCAAAGAGCTCTTAAACACCACACACAAAAAACAGCGGAATCAACAACAGCAACAACACACACACACACACACACACACACACCACACACACACACACACACGCACCACTCACCCACACACACACCCCCCCGCCCCACCTCCCCGCACACAACCACCACCCCAAAACCACACACACACACGCACCACTCACCCACACACACACCCCCCCGCCCCACCTCCCCGCACACAACCACCACCCCAAAACCACACACACACACGCACCACTCACCCACACACACACCCCCCCGCCCCACCTCCCCGCACACAACCACCACCCCAAAACCACACACACACACGCACCACTCACCCACACACACACCCCCCCGCCCCACCTCCCCGCACACAACCACCACCCCAAAACCACACACACACACGCACCACTCACCCACACACACACCCCCCCGCCCCACCTCCCCGCACACAACCACCACCCCAAAACCACACACACACACGCACCACTCACCCACACACACACCCCCCCGCCCCACCTCCCCGCACACAACCACCACCCCAAAACCACACACACACACGCACCACTCACCCACACACACACCCCCCCGCCCCACCTCCCCGCACACAACCACCACCCCAAAACCACACACACACACGCACCACTCACCCACACACACACCCCCCCGCCCCACCTCCCCGCACACAACCACCACCCCAAAACCACACACACACACGCACCACTCACCCACACACACACCCCCCCGCCCCACCTCCCCGCACACAACCACCACCCCAAAACCACACACACACACGCACCACTCACCCACACACACACCCCCCCGCCCCACCTCCCCGCACACAACCACCACCCCAAAACCACACACACACACGCACCACTCACCCACACACACACCCCCCCGCCCCACCTCCCCGCACACAACCACCACCCCAAAACCACACACACACACGCACCACTCACCCACACACACACCCCCCCGCCCCACCTCCCCGCACACAACCACCACCCCAAAACCACACACACACACGCACCACTCACCCACACACACACCCCCCCGCCCCACCTCCCCGCACACAACCACCACCCCAAAACCACACACACACACGCACCACTCACCCACACACACACCCCCCCGCCCCACCTCCCCGCACACAACCACCACCCCAAAACCACACACACACACGCACCACTCACCCACACACACACCCCCCCGCCCCACCTCCCCGCACACAACCACCACCCCAAAACCACACACACACACGCACCACTCACCCACACACACACCCCCCCGCCCCACCTCCCCGCACACAACCACCACCCCAAAACCACACACACACACGCACCACTCACCCACACACACACCCCCCCGCCCCACCTCCCCGCACACAACCACCACCCCAAAACCACACACACACACGCACCACTCACCCACACACACACCCCCCCGCCCCACCTCCCCGCACACAACCACCACCCCAAAACCACACACACACACGCACCACTCACCCACACACACACCCCCCCGCCCCACCTCCCCGCACACAACCACCACCCCAAAACCACACACACACACGCACCACTCACCCACACACACACCCCCCCGCCCCACCTCCCCGCACACAACCACCACCCCAAAACCACACACACACACGCACCACTCACCCACACACACACCCCCCCGCCCCACCTCCCCGCACACAACCACCACCCCAAAACCACACACACACACGCACCACTCACCCACACACACACCCCCCCGCCCCACCTCCCCGCACACAACCACCACCCCAAAACCACACACACACACGCACCACTCACCCACACACACACCCCCCCGCCCCACCTCCCCGCACACAACCACCACCCCAAAACCACACACACACACGCACCACTCACCCACACACACACCCCCCCGCCCCACCTCCCCGCACACAACCACCACCCCAAAACCACACACACACACGCACCACTCACCCACACACACACCCCCCCGCCCCACCTCCCCGCACACAACCACCACCCCAAAACCACACACACACACGCACCACTCACCCACACACACACCCCCCCGCCCCACCTCCCCGCACACAACCACCACCCCAAAACCACACACACACACGCACCACTCACCCACACACACACCCCCCCGCCCCACCTCCCCGCACACAACCACCACCCCAAAACCACACACACACACGCACCACTCACCCACACACACACCCCCCCGCCCCACCTCCCCGCACACAACCACCACCCCAAAACCACACACACACACGCACCACTCACCCACACACACACCCCCCCCCCCCCCCCCACACACACACACACACACACACACACACACACACACACACGCACACCAGGGCTGAGTCTGGTAGTACACGCCTTTAATTCCAGCACAGGGGGAGGCAATTGCAGCCAGATCTCTGTGATTCTGGTCTTTATAATGAGTTCCAGGCCAACCAGGGCTACAGAGTGAGACCCTGTCTAAAAAAACAAAAACAAAAACATAACAAAACCGAATCTCACAAAAAGTCTAGTTTTAAATATTCAAGAAAGGCCATTTGCTCATAGTGAAGGGGTGAAACCAGAATTCAGAGTTTCCTGTTCAGATTCACCTAAGAATAAGATGCATTACCTCATTGCTGATTTTTCTATGCAGATCTGTGGATGGCTAAGAAAATTACAAGAAAATTTATTTTGGAATTAAAACTAAATTTCATCAAGAGGTGAATTCATATCTACAGAATAGACCACTGTAGAGGATTGATGGCACTTTCTCTATATCAGGCCGGTGTCCATGCTGAGAATAGATGAGTGAACATGGAATATGGTGTGGAGAGAGCAAGGCCTCTGGGTTAACTGACTGTTGGCTGAGTTACCTTCTACTTGATCTATCTCTATCTCTGTTTCCTCCTCTGACTCCTGTTATTTAAAGCCCTCAGAACACAAGAAGTAAATACATATTACTTATTATGTTCCAAATGAGTAGAGGCAGCACCTGAATAGTTGAGGCCATGCCTGAGTAATTACTGTTTTGATACACGCTGTCAGGAAGTGCAAGAGAAGGAAGGACAGTGGCAGAGGGGCCATGTCTGGAGGGTGACAAGGCTTCTTCAAGAAGGTGTTATTGAGGTAGAGATGTCAACTGGGTGGGGCGTCTCCAAGGGAGACAATGGTGAATCTAGCTTCAATCCCAGAATCCTCATCCTCCATCTCTTTTGGGTCCATTCATTTAGGTATTGGATATTATACTGAGTACCAGGGACCCAATGGTCCATGAAACACATAGTGGCCTTGACAATAGTCCAAACAGAGAAGAGCAGTATTAAGCATTAGATTTCAAATGTCTAAGAGCAGGTTTTGAAAGTCCTAAGGGAGAGGCATAAGGATCCCAGGGCCACAGAACAAAGAAATTTGTGGCTCTGCAGGAGCCATGACACTAGGCGCAGGAGTGGGAGGAATATGGTGACTTCTGACATTTGAGGGAAAGCTGATGTGTCCAACAGGGCCAGACTACCAAACTTGAAGGGAAATGAGGAGTTCCCCCCCTTTAGCTTCAGGACTATGGAGACAAGGGACATGATAAACTTGCACCTTGGTAAGATTACTCTGATACTGTGTCAAAGATTTATTAGCAACATCCCTTGAGATATTTCAGGGAACAAAAGAACATCCTTCCTCACCCTGCTTTTCCACCTCATCACACGTTCACTCCCAAACTCTGGCTGGATGTCCCATTGTCTCTATAACCTGCCCAAATTCCTTCATTTTGGATAAAGGCCTGACAGAATCTCCCCACTTTCCACCCTCCACCTTGTTCCCACTCTGCATGTATCCTGTGTACTGGGACATAACCAACTTCTTGCCCACATGGCCACAAATCACTTCACTGGCTTACAGCTTGGGGGCCTTGGATTGTTCTCTGAGAAGATGTCCCTGTCCTTGTGCAGCCACTGGCTTTGGAATTAAACAAAAACTAACAAAAGCTTTGCATGTCTTTAAATGTTTAATGGGCCTCATTTTTGCAAGGCAGCACTATGGCCTAGCCCACTTTCTAGAGTGTTCCTGGATTTGGCTCCCTGCTTCCTGCCTGGGGCCCCTGAGGCCTGAGGATGACCCACAGATGGGAGGGATCAAACGGATTGGGTCCTTTGGGATCTTCTTGGCTCTTCTGTTTCCATTTCTCCTCTCATCCTTTTAAGCCGCACTGACCTCGGTACTGTTCCTTGAACCCATGTGCATGCTCCCTCTCCAAGGTCCTTGCATATGTTGTTCCCTCTGTGTATCACAGAAGAAAGACGGCCATCTTGCTCTTAAAGAGGTTGTAGCTTAACATTCCTGATAAAGGGTCATTCTCTCTGGGAGTGGGCATAGTGCCGCCCAGGAGCTTTTTGGATATTTGTATAAACATTGTTTTCTGAAATGATGAAGAGAAGCCAGAATATCAGACATCCTGAAATATGACACTTGTTCCAAATCCCACACCATGTTCTACTGTATCACTGGATATTCATTCAGAAAAGTCTTACTGTTACTGAGTCCCAAATCCAACTCTGCTTCATATGTAAACGGTAAGTTCTACAGATTTAAAATCTTTACTGAATTTGTAAGAGCAGAACTA